GTCCAAAATGAACTTTTGATGCCATCAACGTAAAATTTTGACCGAAGGCAAAAAGGTATGTGGACAAATCCTTTTTTCCTTTTATGGAATGTATTTTTGTATTTATTTTCGTCACACAATTTCGTCTATTAATTGGTAATAACAACCTGTTTTATTTCTTCATATTTAACTCATGAATCAAATCGTGTCCCCCCCATATATAAATATGCTATAGATACACTGAGATTATAATAACACCTTTTCTAAAAGAAACATCACATGAAAAGAATGTTTTACTGATTTTATAAAGACGAATATAAAGTTTTATTTTGAACTAATGTAAGTAAAGGAAAAAAATTGATCTAAAGTTATTTATACAGAACTTTCCTCGCCCCTGAGATACAGGCGAATTTAATTTTTTTAATGGGAGCTCCTGTAAGTTAAAATATTTATATATGTGTGTACTGTTAAAGTAGAAGTAAAGAAACATGCCCATTCGGCTTTTTAGGGGCGCCGGTCTAATTTTTTCCTGCGCTAGTTCAGCACATGCAATTCTCCCCTGGAAGTATGGAATGCGTATCTTTCAAGCAAGTTTTTCCATAACAAAATTTTATGGTGACGTTATCAACATGCAAGCAAAGACACGTATATCAACTTGAATAGATGCAACGTATACTAAGATCACTTTAAATACATAGGTACTAATAATATTTTACAACTTTAGTCAAACAACCCAACCCGCAAAACTCTAAAACCATAAATTATAACACCACGCCAAAGGCCATCTGCTTGGGGCAACACAGGAAATTCTGTAGGCACGCGACATGGTTTACAAGTTTACAACGACCCTAATGCGAAAAGCCGATTCGCCGTTGTCAACCAAATAATCGTAATTTTGTCAGAAAATTTTATTAGTATGCTTTTAAAATGATCTTACTATAATATTAATAATTAGTAGTGTAACTCAAACGTTCGAGAAAATAGGGTGAGTTGTTCTCGATTCGATCAGTAAATTGGCTCCATCATTTTTTTAATTTTGTTTTTAATCTATATAAGTATTTACAAAAAATATGAAGGCAGTGATAAACTACAAACATAGACTCATGATACTTTTCAGATTTCTATATAAATTTTAGGATGACGTCATCAGTTTTGTTTTTTGAGAAGGAGAAAAGTATATGAATGTTGATTAAGAAATTTCCATTGCTACGATAACCTTAAAACGTTTTCAATATTTCAGAGCATTCAGTTTTCCAGCTTTAAAATTAATTCTCAAAATGTTGTAATACAGTTTCGATTTTTTTTTATCAAAAATCTGGATATCTAGGATAAAAATACAACACGAATTTACAAACTACAAGTTCTGTAGTATTTTATTTTATAAAATTTAAATAAAATTCACCAGTTATAAATTTGGAGATGATGTCGTCCCATTGGTGGTGGCAATGATCACGCAAATTTTGGTTAGTGTTTTACCATCTGACAATATTCCTAAATTTCACAACAAATTGGTTCAGTGGTTTCGAAGATGTCTAATAAAAATCGACACAGACGACAGACCGGCGATAGACAGACAGACAGACAGACAGACAGACAGACAGACAGACAGACAGACAGACGACAAACAGACAGACAGGCAACCACAGGCAGACAGGTAGACAGACGTATAGACAGACGACAGACAGATAGATAGACGACAGACAAGCAGACAGACCACAAACGATGAAAGTAACCATTCATCGGATAGACCCTATTACAATACTTCCCTAGCTTACAAAAGTAAAAATAGATTAATTTTTGTTGGCAAAAAAACTGGTGTTACATGAACTGTGTCAATTACATATTTGAAATAATTATGCTCTAATCGATTTGAAACCAAAACTTGCTTTAATGTCCAACAATATTGAGCGATATAATTCAAAGAAGTAGAAATCTGACAGTGTAATCTTTTTTTTTTCTAGAAAAACGCTTCAAATTTGGCATCCATCCGGCGACTGGCTACTTTCATATTTTCTACACGTTTCAAGACCCCTAGAGTGCTAAAAAAGGGGTCTACTGTTTCCGTCTGTCTGTCTATTTGCTGTTTGTCCAGGTTTTTTTAGACAGAAACCACAAGACCAATTGTTGCCAAATTTTATGTGCACATCATATGTTAGAAATATCGTGTAGATGGTAAAAACCTAACAAAAATTTGCCTAATCATCCCTGCCAAATGTGATGACATCCCCTCAAAATTGTTCATAGTAAGCGGGATTTCAGTTTTATAAAATAACGTACTCCTCTACTTATTATTTAAGAATCCGCTTTGAGACTTTTCCTGATGCATCCAAATTTTCGCAAAAAATGAAATTTACAGCAAATTTTTATACGAATACAATTCTAGGTATTCTAGAATTTTATTCGTTAGCGTATCGCGCAAACTGTTCGTCTTAGGACTTTTAAAGTGAAAATCGCACACGTTCGAATGTGGCATGGGGTTTTTTTGTTTCTTGCAGTGTCACTGCTAATACCTACATTTTTATTGATCAAATTTCAAAAACAGTACACCATAATGCTTTATTATTAGTACTACACTGCACGTGTCGCAATTGACATACGTGCCCTTGCTGAAATAGGAACCATGTATGTACGTTACAAAACACACCGAGACCTAATCTAAACGACCTCCTTTACCAGTATTCTGAAAATATTGCCGCTGTCGAAACGCGGTTTTAAAGGAAAATGTAAGTATAACCCACAGGGAGATTCAGCAAGAATTAGGGGTTGGATTATCTGCAGTAGATACTATTTTACACCAGCAGTTGTATGAAAGAAAGTTGATGATCCGATAAAACCTACATTTGCTTATTGAATAATAAAAACAAGAGAGTTTTTATATAAATCTGGTATGCAACTTGTAGATACTTTTTGTTGTTCACTATCAAAAATTGGTCTTAAATATGACGCTTATTCCCACAACCCGAAAACAGACAAAATATTTGCCGACGCATTTCACCAAACACGTTGGCCTTATCTAAACAAAATTAACTTTGTTTTATAATTATATATACAGGGTGACCAAAAGAACAAGAGTGAGTCTGTTATTACTAGATTTACACTGCACCTATTCCAATTGATCTACGCCTCGAAATTAAATTTTATAATTTTTCGAAAAAGGTATTTTTGTTCCACTGTACTTCAGAGGCAACGAAAGCTCTGTCCAAATAAAATAATCTTAGACCAAATTTTTAAAATAGTTTGAAAAAATTAAACTTGTATTGTCAAAAGCACACTGATTTTGTAAAAATTTTAATTTAAAATTTCCATTTTTGTCTCTATTTTAGCAGAAACTAGGCCCATCATATAAATAGCATGATGGATCACTCGGTTTATCGAACTCATCATATCTAAGAAAACCTACGAAAAATTACTTTTATCAACCTATGTCCAAAGTTTTAGTTTCATAACGAAAAAGCTACTATGATATTTTTAGATGCATCATTTAATCTTAATACTTAATAAGTATATAAAGTCGCACTTTGTAATATTAAATATTCATGCTCAGAAACAAAACGATACCTTTAAAAAACAAGTTAACAGAAACTTTTATTCACCGATAAATGTGTTATGAAGGTTAAAATGTCATCAAATGATTCTAAAATCCGTAAATAATGTGGCACCCTATATATATTTATAAGTGTCACTTCCAGTAAACAAAAAAAGAAAAAAAGAAACCATATATCCGAAAATGATAACAGAATTTAACACAAAAGAATCTTCCAAATATTAACCTGTACAACAAAGCAAACAGAAGAGAATCGCAGTGCAATACTTGTTTATATTTTATTTTTGATTAATCAAACTGAAAACATTCTTGTAGTCGCAATTAATGAAGCTTTAAACCAACCAATACCGAAATTTGGCACTGAAGCAGAAATCAAAAGCTTTTTGAATTATGAAACCTAAAAGCAGTTTGCAGTTCTCTTCAAGTTTTTCAAGTCGGTAGTGCCAAATAAGATAGAGACAACAGACAAATGGATAGTTTATTGCAATGAAATAATAATAATTGAAAGAAGAGACAAAAATTGCTACCGAGACACCTCAGTTAACTTCAAGTGAATTTTTTTTCGAAAAAACCAAACTGATGTTTAGCAATAAATGGATACAAAAATTAAAACTTGAAAAACACTCGAATTGCGGTAGTGAATAAAAACGATCTAGAATGAAAGTTTATGTAAATATTTTTGTCTAGAAAATAATATTCTTATAAAATTATTGTTGAAATAAGTTTTATAACACATACCTATTTCCCCAGCAAATAATTGCTGTAACACGTACTGGGTACCAAATAAAAATCAAAGATACACTTGTTAACACATTGTTGTGTCCTATAGCATCCAAGAGTTATTATTTTCTTAAGTTTATGTATTATTCCACTTATTATATCATGAATGACCGTTTTTTGATTTAACTTTTTAATGTATGTATCTACATTACATTTAAATATTTCGTTCATTGATGCTGTGACGATTTTACTAATGTAACACAGGTTACAAAATATGCACAAAATCCCTTAAATCTTCCACAATTGACAAATATTTTTTTAAGGTTTAACAATTCAGAAAAACGTCCAATCAAATGATAGTAAGTACTTTTTAAACCCGAATTAGGAAAATGTAATGTTTTTTTGGCTCCACGGAAGGCACAAAGAATTGAACTCAAATTACTCTAAGTTTTCCAAAAACGAAAGTGTTATGTTAGAAGATGGGTATGGTTTTGTAATAATGATGTAATAATAAAGATTTGAAATACAGTGTTTTCATTCCACATGCTTCATTTAAAGGTTACTTTTTACTTTTAGCTAAGTGAAAAATCATTTGACCCATTTTGAACATTTTTGTAAAAATACATTAGAAATGTAGGTACACGACAATTGCAATTTCGTTAATTATTTACTATACAGGGATTACTCATAGATTAGACAAACAATTTTCACATGAATGCACATCTGTCGAATGTACAGGAGGATTTTTATTACTTACTTGATCAGGTGAAAATCCAATAGATTTTTTTCCATACGAATCTACACCATGCAAGTGAATACTATTGTTTTCCATATTCTTTTTATTGTAGAATTCAATTAAATTTTTTCTGTGTTCACCGTTGACGTCAATTTTCTTTTCATAGTTATCCACAAAAAACGACAGTCTTTTATTTACCTCATCCACTTTAGTCTTATGAACACTATTCGCACTAAATTCATCTTTTTTGAAACTTTCAATCTTTCTTGTTATTTTTTCGTTGTCACAAATTTTCCTTCCAGGCTTATCACTGGTAAAGTACGAGTCCAATTTTCCATTTGTTGTGAAAAATAAATTTTCATTATAGTAATTTATACTTTGGCCGAAACTCCCGTTGTTTGAATCGTTCGACGTGCTCGATGTTCCATCTGCCTCCATGTTAAACCTGTTTTAAGTCATCTTAACCCACACAGTATTATTTCTATGCCCAATTCAAAACTACTTTAACCATAGCAAAATTTATTTTTACACTTCTCACCAACGTAATGCGTGATATTCACTAACAGTACATTTTAGTGAGGCTTGTCTACGGCAAGAACATTTTCCCTCATGCTCCTCCCTTCCAGCCGACAACCAATGAGATGCGACTTTAAATATTGTCATGCCAACAGCCCTTGTGTACCGCCAATGGAATGTTGATGAATATAATTTTAGCAGTAAGGGCTACATTCTCCATAAAAAACTTACATATCTGCATATGAAATGTCTAAAAACTGTATTGAAAACTCAATAGACTGAAGTAGTTGCTATCGGTTTCAGTCGCATTTGAATCACCGCTACGTAAAAGGGTTGCTTTATTTACATTATTATTATTATTGTACAGAAGAATCAATTTTGTGATCGGCATGATTTATGCGAAAATAAATCAAAATTAAAAACGACAAAACTAAGTGTTTGTCAGTTCCAGAAATTCCACAACGTCTGAAAGGTGACTCGTATTTGCCTATCAAGTGAACCGACACGTTAGGCACCATAAATCTTGAAAAATTTATGGTCACCCAATTATAAACAGAGGTTTTAGACGCGTTGTGTGCAAAAAGTTGGTGTAAAAAAATTTTGGGAATATGAAAAATTTTGCCTTTATTATCTGCTTTGCACCACGTGTCAGTTGGTAGGCTATTGATGCGTACGATTAAAAAATTGTAATTTACGATGTTATTATATATTATTATGTAATAATAAAAATGCAACTAATTTTAAAATAGATCCGTTTATTCACAAATGATGTAGGAGTATTTAAAAGCATAAGCACAACGACTACTGATGATTTCCAAAATTTCATTACCGAGTAATTTAAAATTTTAAATTTGCCTTACATTATTCTGAAAATGGTAGAACAGTAACCTAAATTTGTATGTTTATGTCTTCAAAACGATTATGAAGTAATTTTTAAAGCTATGTTCAGTAATTTTTACTTGAAACTTATCGTGTAACACATTTAATACTTCTTAGCCTTACATGTTTTATTTTACTTGATCTACATAATATATTAAAAAAAATGCAATAGAATGTTATAATTTATCCTAGAAAATACACAAACAAATTGTTGAAATTTTGCGACGACACAAACACTAAATAAATAGGTGATTAAAAAACAATTAAAAATTTCATGTAAAGTACTTATAGCTTAGTAATCTATTAGTTAACAAATACGTTGCATTATATTTAAAGCAAGAATTATATTATATGTTTATCGCACTAACATTTTTTTTTATATAATTCGACATCAATTAATACAATACACAACGAGTGTTCAATGGAAAAAGTCATCACTCATCAAGTTGGCGTTGTTTTCTGTTTAATAGCAGAAAACAGCGAAAAAACCCATGTGTTTGTTAATCTATACTGTCGTATCGTGTATAAATGTCATTTGACAGAGTTGTTAAAAATCGTTAAATTTATTACACTGAAAAATCAGGTTAGGTTGTAGGTACATACCATTCCACGTTGTTGGCTGTCATCTATTAAATTTTAGGTTTATTGCAGACATCACAACATTTACAAATAATCAGTGCCAACTTGAATTCACTTGAACACTCCATACTTAGAGACTATGGGAAAAAAAGCACAGACAATGTACGTAGTTGATTCAAAAGCTTTTACTTCTAGAAGTGCAAGGAAGCATTGTTAGAACAATTTTCGCGAATGTGTAATTTATACTATGTAAAAAAAGGCAATCTTCAGAACTACGGGAACAAATACCTATTACTTTGAAATTTTATACACTGACCGGCAAAAAAAACGGCTATCCTGGGATACTGTTTCTGTTACTTTCTTAAATTAAATTTAATTGTGTTTTGTGTGTCTTTTTTTAGCTAATTTGTAGATCCTGTGTCAACCAGTGAATGGTTCTCTAATACCTAAAATAACATTCACTAATTAAATTAATAACTGTTAAAATGATTTCGCGAGATATTTCAGGATGGCCGTTTTTTTCGCCGATCAGTAAATTTTAACACTACTATCATAATCGTAATATATATATCTGGTAAAAAACGAAAACGCACAAAATATTTTCGCCAACCATGTTGGCATTATCTAGACAAAGCTAAACTCATCATATTCATCAAAAATTTTACCACCTCACACAAACTATTTCGTAAATCTCGAAGCATTTCATACTGTTAAAAAAAATATGTTCTGAACACCTATGTCAGAGATGGATAACCAACATTGTAAGTTTTAGTCAAATCTTAAGTCAACATTAATTAAAATTTGATTATTTATCCTTTTTAGAATGTTGATATTATCTCAAATGAATAGATATTAAATGAAGTTTTACAGAAAAATATAACACATTTATTTGAGTATTAATCTCATGATTTTTCAAGGTTCACAACTTCTAGAATACTATAATTTATCGGCTTAACCACACGAACATTTTGGTGACCTCATATGAAATTTAAAAAAAAATGCTTCAGAGTACAACGTTAATATTAAATTTGTGCTTTGGCAGCATATTTTTATTGCTTAAAATTTCTTACACTTGATGCCTTAAAATAATACTGAATGAAGCAATATCTAAAAAAAATTACATAAAAGTCTATTAAAAATATGCACCTAAGTAGGGTCTTAATGGTATTTTTGTCATATGGTTTTATTTTTTATGACTGTAACAAACCGATTTAAATATACCTACCTTCAGTTTTTTTTAAAATAGTCCTATTTTTTATTATTATTATTATTTTTAAAATGTTTCATTTAATGTTTCTGAAATTCTATAAGAAAGTAACGTCATGAGAGTGCCATGTGATATTTTAAATTTCTGCTCTCGTTGGTCATAACGCGTACGTCAGCAATGCAATTGAAACGGTTAACGTAAGCGTCATGGCTAACTAGAGCAGAAATTTAAAAAATCACCCAATATTTTCGTAAAATTAAACTATTTATCGTTAAGAAAATTAATAAATATATAAATTACTGAAGAATACGTTCTGATTCTACTTCAGGAACGAGAGACGTTCTATCTAAATGACTGTAGATAAATTTATTAAGAACAATTTAACCTTGCCTGCAATTGCCTGTATTTAACTCCAACAAAAGTATTTGAGAGGATTGAATTTTGCGAACTCGCGCCTAATACTTAATTTTTCACTACATATTCCCACATAAAAATGTTTCCTCATGCTGAAACTTCATAACATAATCAGACAGCAAACCCACGAAGGAAATATAGTAGAACACTATCAGAAATGTATGATCCATGGTTATGCAGCGATTATTTTATTGAAACATTTTGAATCATTTTGTTGGGTAAATATTTTATAAATGTAGTACGTACAATTTTCACTTTTTTTTAAGGAATGTGTTGAACAATCAACAAAAATGTCAGATTTAAAACTATTACTTATTTCTTTTTTTACCCAGCTCTTACAACTTTATTCAGATAGCACTAACAAAATGTTGACGATTTTTAAGAAAACTGGTAAAACAATGATCACATAATTGTGTAATAGTTATTTATGTATTAAGGGCATAATTAGAAAGATTATGTCACGAGGAAATGTTTAAAGTCCGACAAAGGAGGGCTTTTAATTTCCCGAGGACCACAATCGACAATTATGCCCTCGGTCTTAGTCTCTAAAATATTTTTAACGAAATATATATTATATAATATTTTATTGTTTGAACTCAAATGATTCAAAAACGGAAATTCAGAGTAGTTAAACAAGGCTTTTTTTGTGGAATATGAACCTATTAAACATGAGAAAAATTTCTTTTGTATTGTAACTTCATTTTGGTTACGATAAGGATTCTTCCCAATTTCTTATTATTATTAATGTCATGCTTCAGAATGCAGACGCAAATCTGTACAGAAAAAACAACTTATTTTTACTTCCCGAGCGTAAGTTAAGAAAATATTGTAATAGAGTCCATCCGAGGAATGGCTACTTTCATGTTTTCTCGGCGTTTCATGGCCCTTAATGTATAAAATATAGATCTCCCATTTTCGTTTATCTGTTTATCGTATGACGTCTGTTGTTCTTTCGAAATTGCGTACCGTTGGTTTCCAAATTTTAATGTGACAAGTTGATGACGTATCTTAAAAATTTGGCATTGTACATGTTATTTAAATTTTATTAAATAACATACTCTTCTATTTGTGGTTTATGAATCCGTCATGAGTTTTACCTTAGACATCCAGATTCTTTGGAAAACAATCAAAATTGTATAACATTTTGCAATTTAACTTTGAAACTATAAAACCTAATTCTCTGAAATCTTGAAAATGTTTTAATGTTGTCGTAAACATGGCCAATTATCAATCAAAATTTATCCGTTTATTCCCTTTCAAAAAACTGATGATGCCATCTAAAATGCAAAATATTATTGCTTTATAGTTGTAGTATATCAATGCTTAACATTTTTTCCAATTACTTTTACAAGGTGACTCAAAAAAAAAAACGAATTTAACAATTTTTATTGATTAACGGGTCACCCCGTAGTGTTATTATTAGTATTACACTGCACCTATTGATATGTGTCCTTGCTGAAATATTGATGACAATGATGACATCATCATAAAATTTTGAAACATAGGCATAGCATGCTTCTTTACCTGTACCTACTTTAACTGTCCACACATACCTATGTTTATTTTAACTTATAAGGGTTATCAAAAAAAAACTAAATTAGCAAAATTTAATTTAATAATAATTTTTCGAATATACTGTTCGCCTGTTCTTCAAGCGGGAAGGAAGTTTTGCCTAAATAACTTTACACCAAATTGGTTGGTAACTAACATGCAGTTTTGAAAACACATAATTTTTAAATTGTTAGACACACATATTTAAACTTATCTTCATTAATACAATAGCTTAGCGTATCTAAAACATCCTAGTAGTTACATTATACACATACAGACAACACAGTGCGAC